TCTCGATCCAGTACGATTTGTTTCGACTCTCGTTCGATCGTTTTTCATCATGCACCGTGAAAATCGTGGAAGACGATCGGTCGAGTTTCAAATTACAGAGAACCTTTGGAACAATTTCGATTAAGAAAAAGGGAAGATTGAGAAAATTACGATCTCCGCCACACGAAATTAACTTGCTCTCGATATGCACGACTTATGATCTCGAGATCAACGAAGAAACTGGACGTCATTTGCCTTCTTTTTCGCCCCACGAAAGATCACATGAATAATGCATTTCTACGAACATTCCGTATTCCCCTCGTTAACGAGCAGTTTAGAAAGTTTCGAGTACACGATTCTCGCTGCTCGCTTCAACAATCTGCCGTGTAATTATCGCTGCATTAGATAAGCGACGCGGCAAATCGTGGATCAAAAACATGGAGGAAAACAAAAGGGGGATATGTACGTAAATTCATCCCTCGTTAAGTGGAACGTATATAACGAACTCGACTTTCCATCGAGCAAATTACGCAATTACTCGAAATCGACTAAAAATTTTTCCGGCCACCGATAGCTTCCTCGCGGCCAACTTTAAATAATCTTTAGTTAAATTTCATCAAAATTCGGCCTATCGATTTTGCATTCAATTAAATGAAATGAATCCGACCGGGCAAATTCGAATTGTATTCCGTGGAATTGCGTACACGCGATCCAACCAATTTTCGCGAAACCGATTTTCTTAATCGTTCCAATCGATGAGCTTCTTAATCGAATTCTCATCGATTCTTCTGCAAAATGCACCTGCACTTCCGCGACCTATTGCCCTACACAAGATTTCAGAATTTTATTATGCGACCAATGAATTTAATTAACAATAAGGCGGTTTAAATGATCGAACCTCTTTGGAAAATTGAAAAACACTATTTCGAAAGAAAAAGGATTCGAAATTCAAAGGAGAGTAAATTCAAAAGGATAATAATTACGGATATTTTGACATTTTAGTTATATATTTTTTTTTTGTGTATTTTATAATTCATTTCGTTAATAGTCCATAATTTTCTCTCGTTGAAACGAAAATGCATTTAACCTGGCATCTCCATTCTCTTTTCTCGATTGCGCGAGTCTGAGAATTTTGAATGCAAGTTGAATGCAACCTCGGCTCATAATTTTCACGATCATGGATCATAAATTATACGGAGACGAATGATGAGTTTGAAGAAGAGAAATAAGTCAACACGGTGTCGTGCATATTCTGTCACGTATAATTACGAAAATGACACGCGACGAAAGAAGTTTACGCCAAACTTCCGTTTCGTTCGCGTATAAATTGTTCGTCAAAGCTCGTTAGCCCCGCTAATTTTAGATTTGTGATAAGATCTTGCGAAAAAGGAGCATCGACGCGACGTCTCTTCGTTTTACGGAAGATTTATATCTCAAGTGATCGTAAAGATCTCGATACTTGGAAATGGCAAATGGATAAATGGAATTTAACAGGAAAAAAAATGTTTTGCCAATTTGCATAATTTATCTTATCTTATCCATCATCGAGCAATCATTTTAATTTCTTCGACGTTATCGCGTTAAACGACAACCGACATCCTGTAATAATACAACGTACAATTTTTCTTAAAGTAAATATTTTATTTATGCCAAGACTGATGTCTGCATTAATGATATCCAAGACAAAAATACTGCAACTCGAGATGAGACGTACAAGAATTGTTATTGTAAAAAAACGTTTATACGTGTGACAGATACTTAAAGATAATTGTATTTGTATTATGCAACAGAAACTCGTGCATCGCAAAGAAAATGGAATGCAAGACGATACGATCACGATAATTCCAGAATATCAAACTTAAATTAAGAATGATAATTCCGTTAATTGAAAATCGAGGTGCAATTAAGAGGACAAATTTATACAGGAAAAATTTGGAGAAAATCTTTTTACACGATCTTGTTCCTTTTCCAGTGTCAAATCGCACTTCATCGCAAAACGCCTCATCGGAACATGAATTTTCTCAACGTTGATAACGATCGATTTAATCCTGCAACTTTTTCCACGTAAAAACTTTCGATGTACTTAGCCTAATTGGTTTTCCATTATCCTGTTCCACTACTGCTTAACAGTATTTGACGTAAATTTCGAATGTAATAAAACCAAACACCGAGGATAAATCTCGATAAAAATATCATATTCGACGAGTATTATCATGCCTGCTAATTATTCATTTCGAAGAAAAAATTAAATTGATTTCGCAACTTTCTAATCTAATTTCCACGTATCTCGCTACGTATCGAATAACTCGATTCGTTCAATCAGAATAAACTTTTTTCTCAAATCTCTCGCCTCACGAAAACCAAACTTTGCTAAAAGCTTACAAATCACGTTTTTTCGCGTGAAATCATCGCGTGTTTAAAATACGCTCGAAACTCCATACAAATGGAGACTATTTTTTACGAGAAGAACAACAAGTCAAAACAGAAAATCGATTAGTTTCTTTCCCCCTCCCTCCCTCCCCCCAAAAAAATACACATCAATGTCGATAGTGAACGGGCTCGTTGCCAAACGAATTCGAATTTCTGGCTGACAATCAAAATTTTCTATGACAAAAGTCGCTAGACGTAGTTACGGTTTTTCGGTCAGTGATATCTCGGGATTGAACGGATCGGAAATCGAGAACGGATCGGAAATCGAGAATCGATTGGTAAACATCGTGGAATCTAATGACATTCGACGATACGAATGCATAAAAAAGTTTTCGAGTTTATCGACAGTTGCGCAACTGTGTAACAAATTTCTAAGTAACAATTTATTCTCGTTACTGATAAGAAAATTAAATATCGCGCGAATATATCATAGCGCAATTTGTTTCCCATTTTTCTAGTATTCTAATACGTCACGCGATAAAAATGACAAAAAATGAGAAAATCGTTCGATTTCGAACAAACGTGATCACGATATAATGAAAACATAATCAAATAATGAAAATGAATTAATGAAAACGAGAATGTAAAGTGATATAAATTGTTCAAAGCAAGTACAAAACCGAAATAGAAGAGTAATTGTCGATGAAACTTAATTTGCCCGTTTCACTGTTCCGCCATCAATTGAAATTTCCATAACGAAACACAATTTGTGCATTTACTCTAGTACCACGTGTTAGCAATAAACCAGTATTTATAGGATATAGCCCGGCAGAGTCTTGCTCTATTCTGAACGCGTGTAAATTTCGCGACTGGTGCTTTGCGAAACGATCGTTATAAGTCAATCATAATTCTTCCTGTGAAAAAATCCATGTTATTTCAGTTTGCTCGATCAAGTTACTCCGAGTGTGACGAAGTGCTTTATATCCTTCTCGAAAATATACGATCTCGAAAATCTTGACATCTCTAATTATTTATTTGTCATTTTTATTATTAAAAGAAAAAAAAATTATTCGATTCTCGAACAATGGAATTAAAAAATTAATGTGCGATCTGATTAATATGATGATCTAAGGAAGGAATATGTTTCGAATGGAATTTTGGATTACACGTAAAGAGACGAGAGAATTTCTAATTTGGCCTAGTTCTGATATAGTATAACCGAAAGACGGTCGCACAATGGTGCAAAACACGTGTCGCGCTGATTTATGCTCTCCGGGCCAGGTACCACACATGTCCAATGCATGTCTGATTTTATTTACGAGTTTCTGACATGTGCAATCATTCTTACATCTACTGCGTTTGCCAATATCAACATCGGAAAAAACCATATTCGAGAGAATTAAATAATTCGCAAAAACATTCGTGCATTTTCCATGAGAGTTTCTTTTTTTTTTTACGATAATTAAAATATTTCTTTTTTCTTGTTTTTCTGTCTAACGTTCTAATATGATAAAAATTACCTCCAGACAAAATGAAGTTAGTAAATATAAACTCCATTTTATCATCGTTCTCGATAATTTGATGTATTTCTTCGAAGTTTCAAGATCGCAATAATTTTAATCCTGATTAATTTATTTCGTTGAATAAAATAACGATAGTTTTAACAAGAGGAAGAAGAGAAGATTGAGTACATAAATTTCGCGAAAATATGAATTCTTAACCAATGTGTAAAACAATGCGCTCGAGCGATTATTTACATGGATTAGAAGAACACGATTTGATGAAGAACACCAGGCGTATAATAAAAGATCGATTTCGAAATGACGGTCGAGACAGTTCATGAAAAACGAGGATAGCAAACGTTGAATTTATTTGCCGTTCGACGAACAGAACTTCGTTCCTGAGAGAGGAAAACAGTCGCGAATGATTTACATTCCTGCAGAGGAGCAGCTCGGTGCGATATGCATTATTTTCCCATTTATCAACTATTCCATACGACCGTTCCTGGATATTCTTTGTCCAGTTTACGCTTCTCTGTATGTTATGGGGGAATAGATAAATTTTCAAATATTAGGAATTCAATCGATCGAAAAATGAGATGCGGGCATCAGATGTTATCGAAAACACGTAAATCGTGTGTTTCATCGATCGAGGATCAATGAGAACGATAAAGAAATTATCGCTTGATAATTTCATAATTGATTTGTTAAATCATGAATAATTTAAAATTTTTATCGAAAAGAAGATACAATTTTTTTCAAGACACTTAAAAGTGAAATGAATGTGAAGAATTAGAAAATTATTAAAATCTTGAGAATTATTACGTTGAAACATCAGATTATAAGAAATTCATATATTCAACGTCATATGTTATAAACATTTCATCAATCATATGTATGTTAAAATAAAATATTTCTTTCGTCAAGCTTCATATTAATTATTATAAACAATACTGACATATATTATCATTTTGCACATTTATTTTTAATTAATTTAAAGTATGTTTCGATGTTTCTACGAATTAAATTCAAAGATTGATTAAACTTCTCTGATCGCTTTTCTTTTATTTAATTTATTGAAAAAAAATTTCAATTAGATTTAGAACGAAAATTTTGATTGTATCTTATAATGATTATTTAAGAGAACTATTATAAAAAAGAACTATTTAAATATAAAATTTAAAAATTTTCATGCCAATCGTCTGTTTTCCTTTTTCGTCTGTTACTATGAGACATTATTCTATTTACATTCATATATACGATATGTATGTATATTGGCATACGTTTTTGTAAAGTTCGTATTTACGTTTCGAGCATTATTAGATCCTTGAAAAGAAAAAAATCTGTTTACGATGACCTCGAGTTTCTAAGAACGACAGATGGTCTAAAACGGTTTCATATAATTTTTATTATATTTTTAGTATTGCGATGTAAAAATAAAATGAGATCTATATATATATTCTCATATATATATAGAAATGCAAATTATAATATACGCGATTCGAATATTTGATTAAATTAACATGATTTTCTAATTAATGATAATTCAATAACAAGATATTTTTATTTAAAAATAATTATTTTTAAAATAAGTATTTTGAGTTATCAAAATAAAAGCCACTAATTAATTAAAACAATTATTAATTACATAAATAATAAATAATATTTCATATAACAATAACAAACATATCACGAAATTTTTTTAGAAACTACAAATAATATTATCCAATATATCGAGTTTCATATATTTCGATATTTCCTGTAGCTATTAACCATATATCGTACATATCTAACATATTGTTAGATTTGATGAAAATATTAGTCGGTTTGATAAATATCAACCGACTAATATTCTATTGACAAAAGAGCAAATAAAATGCGCAAAAGATTATCACTCTTTACAATAAAGAAGAACCATATTTTCAATTTCTCGATTTATAAGATCGAAAAAACTACGAAGAAAAAATTACAAAATTATATCGATCGATTTTAATGAACAATCGATAATAATTATCAAAAAATATTGGTATATATATTATACTGGTATATATAATATATTAAGATATGTATTTACGAATTAAAAATACTTTTAATACAAAAAATAAATGCTTTAATATTATAATTATATTTAATTCGTTGTTATTCACGATACGTTGATAATTAATTTAATGTAATCAAAAACATTTTTCGCTTACCTTAAAAAATACTGCGAAAAACGTAGTTAAACCATGTTCTATGATGTCGTGTAGTTGTCATAGTTTAAAATTATTCACTGATTGTATCACTTATTGTTCAAAAAGCACAAAAAAAAAAGTTTGAAATTCAATTCACACGTCACGATGTTACTTCACAGAACGGTATCTATAAACTGAAAGCCGGACGAAGCCACGCGACCGCAAAACTACCCGCCAAGCCGATTGCCCCCGATTTACCCCGAATGAAAACGAAAGTTTACGAATGTCGAACGAACGTAACCGATGCTTTTCGTAATTCTCATATGATCTGAAATTAACAAAAAAAGAAAAAAAAAGAATAAATAAAGAATATTATTATTTCAAAATAATAATTATCTTTGTTTATAATATTTTTCATTATTAAGAAATCAGTTATCTTAATTCAAAATGTCATTATGATGACAAAATTATATTTATTTTTATATCGATAATTTTATCAAATATTAAAACATAATATAAAATTTTATAAATTAAATTTATTTAAATTATAAATTCTACTTCTTTATAAATTAATTTTAAAATTTTAATAATATCATATATTTAATTAAAAATATACACATCATTACATTAAATTATCTACCAAATAATTTTAAAAAACATAATATAATTTTTCTATTTTATTCATTCTCTCTTTTTTTTTTTTTTTTTTTTTTTT